CACCCCAGATTTCGGACTTCCAGTCATCACGCAATGCATACTGGGAAGGATCCTCCGAAAAAGTGATCGTCAAACTACCATGTTTGATTTCCCAGTGAGATGCGTCTGTTGTCAAAGCCGATCTTTTCAATTCTTTTGAACCATATCGCTATTGTTTCTGGTTCTGATATTGTCATGTTTTAGTTATAGGATTCGGACATTGTAATTATGTGGTCGTTGAATGTCCTAATAGCGAAAAACGGACTTCGGAAGTTTGCAAACTCCATAACTGCAAAAGGGAATCAGATCTATGTGGAGCGTGGTTCTTGAATTGAAAAGATCGGCTTTCACAATAGACGTATCCCACTGGGAAATCAAACATAGCGATTTGATGCTCACTTTTTTGGAGGTTCCTTCCCAGTATTCATTGCGCGATGACCAGAAGTCCGAAATTCAGGATGCATTATTCCAAATATAGAACTTGGCTCCAAATTTGCAGCTATAACTTATAGCCTCGACGAGCTTCACTTGACTGGATTCAAACGCTATGGGTGAAGGCACATTCCCTTAGTCCACTTCTTTATACAGTCTATGGGTTAAAGAAATTATAAGCAGAAGTTGGAAGACGAAGCCGCAGTGCTTGGGTGGATTTTGTTTTTAGTTCTTGAGAGGAGCAACATCACGGCATACCTTGTTACAAAAATAGGAAAATTAAAAGAGACATGTTATGCAAAATGACCTTGGACTGTTCCCTTAATTTACTCAGAGTTGTGTTGAGATTCGATCATGCATGTTTGAGAAGTCCTGTAAAATTTCAGCTTTCACCTACCCCCTAACCCACTACCATATACTAACTTGTGCTTATTCAAAAATTCATACACAAAGGCTTCAAAAATGTTGTGCAGCAATTTTTCAAAAGTAAAAACATGAATGAAAATCCACAACTTTTTTTTTTTTTTTTTTTGCAACAAAATGTTAAATAATAAACTGTTAATAATAACTTATGTTATAACTCATTACAAAGTACTAGATAAAAGAAATGTCTTCTTAAAAAAAAAAAAAAAGTAGACTGCTTCTGGAATGTTCTGGTATTTTTTAAGTATTCCATTTTAACAAAGCAATTATATAAAGTGTCAGATGCGATACAGATGTTTCCTGTGGTTTATGACTTTATTTAATTTATTTTTATTTTTTGTGTGGAAGCCATTTGGCCAATCTATTATTACTGGACATTTTTATTATGGATTTATGTGTATTTTATGATTTTAATAGTCATTTTCCCGTAGTTCATAAGAGGAAGGTTGTGAGAGTCACTATAATATTTTTGGATTTGATATTGAATTGAATCTTGATATTTTTTATGACTACATATCGACACAGATCTGCTTGTATGCAAACACCTCACAGCCACAGTAACAGATTAAAACCAGATGTTCCAGGATGCAATTCATACTTCTAAACACAACAAAGTAATGAACGGAGCAAGCAGCATAAACTCGCCCATAAAAGTCTAATCTGAACCACATGAATTATGAAATATTAACACACGGAAGACGTTTACAGGAAATGTTTGTGTGTAGTGGATTACGCCCCATCCCGTTTTCATTACAAGTGGAAGGGTCGTGCGGAGTAAATGCACCGGGGTAAGAATTTGCAGTGGTAAAGAGCTTTTTTGACGTGAACTATCCTTTAGTCACGTGATACAACACTTACTCCATACAACTGTACAACAACTCACTCTTATATAACAGATAATACTCCCTACAACTGTACAACAACTCACCCTTATGTAATAGATAATACTCCCTACAACTGTACAACAACTTACCCTTATATAATATAATACTCCCTACAACTGTACAACTCACCCTTATGTGACAGATAATGCTCCCTACAGCTGTAGAACAACTCACCCTTATGTAATACTCCATACAATTGTACAACAACTCAGCCTTATGTCCTATAATACTCCCTACAACTGTACAACAATTTAGCCTTATGTAATATAATACTCCACACAACTGTAAAACAACTCACCCTTATGTAATAGATAATACTCCCTACAACTGTACAAAAACTCACCCTTATGTAATATAATACTCCCTACAACTGTACAACTCACCCTTATGTGACAGATAATACTCCCTACAGCTGTAGAACAACTCACCCTTATGTAATACTCCATACAACTGTACAACAACTCAGCCTTATGTCCTATAATACTCCCTACAACTGTACAACAATTTAGCTTTATGTAATATAATACTCCACACAACTGTAAAACAACTCACCCTTATGTAATATAATACTCCCTACAACTGTACAAAAACTCACCCTTATGTAATATAATACTCCCTACAACTGTACAACTCACCCTTATGTGACAGATAATGCTCCCTACAGCTGTAGAACAACTCACCCTTATGTAATACTCCATACAACTGTACAACAACTCAGCCTTATGTCTTATAATACTCCCTACAACTGTACAAAAACTCACCCTTATGTAACAGATAATACTTCCTACAGCTGTACAGCAACTTACCCTTATGTAACAGATAATATTTTGATTTATACATATACATTTATATAATTATGCCTTATTTGACTCAAGTCTCTGGCTATGTTTGCTACTTATTTAGAATTTATTATAGCATTTATATACTGTATATTTGTTTCTCTTTGTTAATACAATATATTGTGACAGGTGAGCTACTGTGTCCAAATAATTTCACTTGTGTATCAATCAGTTCAATCAGTATCAGTTTAGTTTGTGTATCAATAAAGTCTAAGTCAAGATTACATAGACCTGTCACGATAACAGATGAAAAGTGATATATTGCTACAGAAAATGCATCGAGATAAGAATTTGTGGTGGTAAAGAGCTTTATGTTTTTTGTCATGAATCATGGTTTAGTCTGAGTACTCTGTGGTCAGCTCAGTTCGAGGCTCACAACAAATGGAGGTTTTTCCCAAGCGAGAGAGAATGACGCTCACATCTTGAAATCATAAATCCAAAATCCGTAGTGTTCTCGTCTAAAGATGCAGGAACAACTTCTGAGTGTGATCGATGATACTCTCCACAAACCCTGGGAACATTTAGGATCGTGCATGGATCGCTTTGGATGCTTCAAGAATGCCGGATGATTGACAGAATTAATGTAATCAATATGTCAGGGGATGTTTCTATACCGTACGTCTGGTCTACTTTCGAAACTAAAAACAAGTTAATGTGGAACTCCCAATTCGAGCATAAATTACGGCAATCTTTTGACATAGGGCTGGAGCTACAAGTCTTGAGTAAATGGTTTGTATTAGACTGACTATAAATTTTAACAAATGGTGCTCTAAGTTAAAAGCAGAAGGTAGAATATGATTTGCAATTAGAATAGTGAAAAGGCCTTCAAAGAAACCAGAACATACATTTTGGATAGTTTCATATTCTTGAAATATTATAACATTCTTCTTTTCAGATATTGAACATTGTGAGATGATACTGCCCATGGGCCTTATTGAACAGGTTAAGTCTGACATGTGGGTGAAAAATGTCGAGAGATATTCAGCAAATTCTCAGAGCCAGGAATTATGCTCACAACATTGAGGCCAGAATAAAACCTGGGACAGCCTAGACCATTGTTTCCCAAAGACTAGGTCAGGTGGGTCGCAAGAGATGTTTTTTTGAGTCACCTTGTCATGATCTACATGTAGGTCTGCAATAAACAGTCCTGAAACATGAGATTTTCTGTTCTCACAAAAATGAAGACAAAGCACTGAAACAGACTGAATGCTGCGCCTGATCTGCTGCTGCGCTCTCCTCCTGACTGGAACACGCTACAAAAATGCAGACAGACCCACCTATCTCATTAGAAATGTTGCAATGTTAAGGCATGTTTGGTATAATTTCTAATCTTTTTGTAAATTATTTTATTGACTATTTTGTTCCAGTATTGCTGGTCCAATTGAATGTTTAAAAGAAAAAGAAATGGGCTACATTTAATGTTCAAATAGGCGACTTATAGATCCTTTTATTACTGGTTCAATGACTGTTTTTCATTGTTTAATACGTGAGTAATACTAATTGTTCAGAGAGACATGATCATTCAGTCAACAATAAAATATTCTCATTAATGTTCAATAATGGTCAAATCCACCTTCATTTTGTGATTTATGAATAATGTCTATTGACTTGGGTCGCAAAGGTTGGTGACTTTTAAAAGTTTTGGAAACACTGGCCTAGACCACAAGACTATGGTGCCGAATGCTGCATTTATGTTTGGAAGGAACCGACATGTGAGCTTGCACAGGTTGTTAGGTTGTTAGACACATGTTAGATTTAAATAGAGGGAATTATGCAAAATCAACTTTTTTGGAGCTTTTTAACATATTGTAGCACTGTTCCCTCGTCAAAACCATGCCCGAAGAAGGTTGAGATGTCATCTTTGTATGTTTGAGTAATGTAGCCTATCCCAGGTCCTATTCAAACCTTCTTTACGGTTAGCTATAAGATTCTATCCAAGGCTCAGCCCACAAGTCTATTTCACCCATGCTCCCACACAGCAAATGATACAAAACAATAAACTACAACTTAACAAACCTGATGCGATGTGCAATAGTTTCATTAGCGAAATGTAAATTGATTGTAATGTGATAGTGCTCTGAAGGGGGAGTGGGACTCAGAGCGTCAAAAACAAAAGTGAAATTCAATCATTCATGTTAATAAATTGTATTATGTATGATATGTACTATGTGTTAGCGATAAATACCCCATAGAAGTGTAATATTCCCTCTTTATGAATATTACTAATGATCTTTTTTTTTGTCTTTAGACTTTTTTTTTTCCACAGTCAGAGAAAAGGTCAGTTTTTTGTGGGGCAGTTGAAGGAATTGAAGGATGGGTCAAATGCAGAGGGGGACAATACAGATACCTCAACCTTAATGAAACATGCATTATCAAAACGCATTATTATCAACGTACTTATAGCCCATAAGGTCTGTAAAGGTGCATAAGAGGAGTGACTTACTCATGGTGTCCAGGACAAAGTTGTTCTGGGTGACGGCCAGAGGAGGCTGTACGATCACACTCAGCCTGGGAGCCTGGACCACCCCAGTGCACTTCAGCTGCAACTGTGGGCACAGGGAAGCACCATTAGTCAGAGCATGTGGTGAAAAAGAATCAGTCAAAATACTACAAAATCGGGCTACAAGATTATATGAGCATAAGTAATCAAATCAAAGTCGCTGTTTGAATGGATGTAATTACAAAATCGCAAAGGCTATTTTGGTTTTCTCCACAAACAACAAAATATTCTGTTTTATTCAGAAATACAACTGCTAACCCTGTAGTTTAGATGTGATTCTTGCGTTACTTTGTCAGTTTAATTTCAGTGTTTTTGTCCTTTTTTCTGGATAAGTTAAAAAAGCAAATTTTGAACAGAATACTATTATTATAACATAAATCACAAACCCAATCACTCATCGCTTGTCAGAATAATTACAATATTTTTCCCAAATTGATCAGCCCTAGTACAAAAATATACAGAAATATTGATAAACTTACCTGCACAGTTACTGAAGGTACAGGCAACCCATCAATGTCTTGAATATGAGCTTGCTATAGTTTAAAAAAAATAAATAAAAATTACAAATGTCTTAAGAAAGTAACCTTAGTGGAGTTTGTGGAGTTCCAACACTTACTGATGGCTTGTCCATGTTCTTTGATATAACAGCTGTCACAGTGAGGTCTTCCTGAGTGTCGGCTTTTGGCAGGATATCTGCAATCACATGTTTCACATTGTATATATACATATATAATATGTGCGGTATGCTTTATGATAATAGTCAGTGGTACTGTGTAATGTTCAGAGTGCATAGTATTTTACAAGCCCAGAGTTTATCTACTAAACTCATCTACGCATTATTATTATCTGTGCTTATCTTTATTTGACACATTTTCTTGATTGAACAGGGCTTTAATTCTATAATAAACTCTTGTAAATGTCTAATTCTATTATGCCTGCATCTTTTCTGTGACCAGTGTGGATTCAGTATGGAAGAGAAAAATGCTTCACTGTCAGGCAAATGTAAGAACAGCTAGAAATGATACAACTTAGGTGGACATGTGTATCGGAACAAGCAGAAAGTCTTCTTGTCAGACTAGTCTAAACAAGAGAATAGAAGCAGAGCACTTTCAGCTCTTAAGGAGCAAATGGAAACATGAAACATGGAGAATAAAAATACTATTATGGGAGAGTTTTTGAAGTTCGCTTATAAGAAGATGAGATGTATGGAATTTACAAGTTGTAGTATACAGTACCTGATTTTAGGTCATTCGAGTACTTACTAATATACCTGTTTCTTGCTGGGTTTTCTGTCAATATTTAATATAGAAAGTGGCAATTAAAATTATATTGATAAAATTATGTTTTTGTTATTATAACACTAATATAAATAATCTGCTTGAACATTTGTGAATTTACCTGTTGGCTATTTCATGGGAAAACACAATGGTATCAATATGGAAAGCTGGCCCTTTACCTCCTACAATGTGAAAACCACCATATAAACAATATACCGACTAACTGAAGTGACCAATTTACAGATGTGCTCCTTAGCTGCCCTCTGTCCAATAAGCAGTACCTTGAGTCCTGGAGGCCTCCCTGATGTACTTCTGCAGGTTTTTGAGCTCGACGTCCATCTGCTCGTAGTCCACATCACGGGCGTCCACTTTGGGAGTGGAGTAAAAGGACGGGTCAGTGCCCATGTACGAGCACAGCAGCTGTCCTTCTGAACTCAAGGAGACCACCACGCCTCTCAGCTCCCTGGTAACCACACAACAGGAGACGACTCAAATATGAATGTAATATACAATGTTTGGGATTATTTGCATGTCTGAGATCATTTCCATATATTTGCTCCTCAATAATTCAATACAGGATTGAAATAAAAAAGGATAGCAGATCCTCCACCAGAAAAGTTACACAATGCACCTTTAAGCTGTAAATATTGAAACTTTAAAGCTTTGAAATTTTGTATTTGGAAAAGATTGAAATATAACTAATAATAACTGCAAAACTGCAATTTGAATGGACACAATTAGCAAATCGCAAACTTTAAAAATTTTGGAAGTATCATAATTACATCAACAAACAAAACATGATGTTTTCTTCTACACAAAACTGCTAACTTTGTAGTTTAAATCTCTACAAATATATTCTGAAATGTGATTCTTATATTAGTTTGTCAGTTAATATTTCATTCCTTTTGTCAGTTCTTTTGGATGCGTTTAAAATGTGAACTTTGAATAGAACGTTATTGAATCATAAATCACAAAACCAATCACAATGCATGTCAGAAAAATCGCAATTATATAGATATTTTCTCCAAATCATTCAGCTCCAGTTCTGTGCACATTTTAAATTCATCTAGAGGCACTGACATTTGAGGGAAGACTGAAATATGAACTGCTAACTGAAGCCAAGAATGTCATTTCAGAACATATTTGTAGTGGTCTAAACTACAGAGTTATACACTTTATACAAGATAAGACAGAAAAATAAGATGTTTGCAGCAATGGACTTAAATAACTGTAGACTTGCAATTTGTTAATTACGACTATATATCATATTGCAATTTTGATTTGTTTGTGATTAATCTTGCAGCCTAAACGTACAGAACAGCAATATAAAATGTTTGGGATCATTAATACTATAGATTTATCTGTGTCACTTTTTAATAATTAAGACTAATTAAGGTGTAGTTAAGTGTGAAGAAATTGTCAATTAATAATTAACAAATAGTTTATTAAGAATGATGGGGCTGACACTGACACATCTTGACAGGACTGTACTTGAAAGAAAGTTAATTTGTTTGTTTGTTTGTTTGACCTGGTCCTTGAAGGGTTGACTGGGTTTTGTGTTCACCCTGTGTGTGTGTGTGTGTGTGTGTGTGTCTGTGTGTCTGTCCATCCGCAATAATTCTACCATTTATGGACTGATTGTCACCAAATTTGGTACGTGGGTCAAGCCCCTGTGGGTCAAGTTTGGTGATGATCCAAGGTCATTTGGGGTCACACGAGTCAACTGAAAGGTCATGCCATTATAAAGGATAGGCAATTTCGCCAATTTCTGAACTATCTGTGGGCTAAAATATTCACCCAATCATCACACAAGTTGGCACACACATAACCGAGGTACACTGGATGTTACAGGTTGAAACCGTCAAGGTCACTTGAAGGGCAAAATATGCGTTTTTGGTCATAACTCCGTGAAGGATGGAACTAGAGCAATGGGAGTGGTCTCAAAATTTCAGAAAAATGATTATCTATTTATAATTCTATGCATTTGTATAGTAAAATATTAATAGGTTTCGAGATAATCACTAATTATAACAGTTCCTTTTTCTTTCAGTGTGTGCCATTAAAATTCTAATTGTAATGAAAATAATTTCCATTTCTTGTTTTTCTGGTGATACACAACACACTGACATATACAGAACTAATGAAAAATGACATTTTGGTTACACACTAGTAAACACAGACATTCTAATGTGTGATCAATATCACACAAATGTTCATGGGCACTGTACAGATACACACATTGCATTGTGGATATAATGATCATGTAATATGGGTTGGCCTCCTCATAAACTGCTTCTGTGGTGATAAACTGACCCCACCAAGGCCTCATGGGGGACCAGGTTGCTCTCTCTGATCGCGCTTGTTTTATGTCTATTTTTGTTTTCATCTGTATAATTAAAAAATAAAAAAAATAATTAAAAAAAAAATTAATGAAGGGATTAGGAGTTCTAAACATGTGTTCATTATTGATACTCTGCAGTGACATCATGCAAAGGGGTGTTCTATATGTATGTCTAAGATGAAATGTCCAGCAACTGAAAAACTAATGCAAGCGAGGTTTTAACTGTAATTTTATACGTAAGAGACTTCAATATTTGCCAAGATATTTTTTGCAGCTGTAAATCACACTTTTAAATTGTGTACAAATCTGTAATTTCAGGAAGCAAAAATTGTTTACTTCATAGGCTGCATCTGACAGAGATTTTCAGCATTGCTCCATCATTTGCTTCAATAAAACGCCCTTGTAATCGCCAAAAAAAGAAATTAAAATCACCTAAAACATGATAATCCATTGTCAAAACACATTCAGAGCGTATCCGTGTGTGTACAATGAGCTTCATAACATTTGGCTTGTTTTCCAATACCGTGCAGCTCTAGACATTAGCACCTGGGACAGACACCAGCAGAATGTGAGGAAATGCTGACTGATGCAATGTGTTTAAAGTGAAGCGATTGTTAAGTAGTTACAGATGTGTTATGGTTCCAGGCCAGTGAGTCCATAGTGTGAGGGAGGAGACGGGAGGAAAGAGGAGGGGAGGGGGGAGAACCAGCCACAGCTATCCTTTTAGTTAAATATCATAAATTGTCCACTTTAAACTGACTATAAACCACTTCCCATCAATGAGAGAGACTGTTTTTACACAAGAGGTGGTAATGGTTATTAACAAGGTCTCCATTGTATTCTGGGGGTCATTTACTAGGCTGTTCCGTTCACATTACGGCTTCCTACGGGGTTAGTGGGGCTGTTGGTTGATAGTGTTGGTTTTAGAGTTTTAGTTCCCATATGCAGTGTTTTAATAAGAAATTTCAATTTAGTTTTAGCTTGTTTTATTTGTTTGTTTTTTTGTTTGTTTTGTTTGTTTGTTTTTTTACTTATCATGTGGTGTTTTTTTTTTTTTTTTTTAAGTTAACAGGGTCTTTTAGTTCAGTGGAGATTGGCAATTCCAGGACTGAAATGATCCAAATGACTCTAGTGAAGGTGTATGGAGTTTAAAATCTGTCTGGTGGAACAGAGTGTTTTCTGTTTGAGAGAAGAACTCAGCCTAAATATGCAGGGTCTGTGTGTTCAAACATGTGAATGAAACAAAACACAACTCAGACGTGTGCTAACTGCTGTAATATCCACAACACAGGCGTTTTAAGCCCAAAAAAAACACAAGTCAGCAAATGTTTTAAGAACTTAGTGGTTTAGAGCTGATTAGCCCTGAGCAAATTTTTGAACTTTAATATAATTTTTTTTTCTTAATCAAACATTTACTTCCAAAACCAGGTGGTGGGCGGTCACTGTCAGTGTTGGTGGGTGAAGCCATACCATAACCTGCTGCTCTCTGGAATATTTGAAAGATTAAACTGAACAATTTCTTCTTTTTTGCTGTGAATTGTAGTAATATCTGACAAATGTTATCTTAACTTGCTACACAATCTATAAGACTGTTATTGGAGGTGAAAAGTGACCGGATACTTAAAAGCGTACTGTGTAACTTTCTGGTTGGGGGTCATTAAACAGCTCTGCCTTACATTTATTCAATTACCAGTGGTTTTATAGCTCAAAAATAGGTAGAAAAACTACATTCTGGCTGTAAACGGGTTGCCTCTTCACAGATCTGACCTGTAACTTGGTCAGTTTGGTCAGACTTTTTCAATTTAGAAAATGATTTTAGTTTTGGACAAGATTTAGTCAAATGTTTATTTATTATTATTTTGTTTTGTTTTGTTTCATTCAACAAAAATCTCATATGTTTACCAATTTAGTCGGCTAAATTCATCACTGATACTTTGGAGTGACATCACGCTGGGGATGTTGTACATGTATGTCTACTGTCAAAATGTTTAACAGTTACAATGGTGGCACAATGCACACATTGGCAAAAACTGACAAAATGTTTTGATGTAGTCAGAAAAAAAACTAAATAATTTGAAACAATGCATGTTCAGGAGCTGGTAATCAATACACAGGTTCATGGTCCTGTTTGGTGATTTGATTTTCAACAAAAAAGGTGAGAGTGACTCATGGAAAAAGTTTTAAGAGAATTATTTAAGAGCACAAATCATTTCACCTTGAAGTTGTAGTTCCAACCAAGTCAGCTCTTCAGTCAGATTGTGTTAAAATAAAACTCAGATTAAGATTAAGACTTACTTGAGTAACAGAGCTTCTAACCTTAGTTACCTTCACAGCCCCAGGGAATGCTGATGACATCAGCTGCAAAGTACAGCTTTAGTTTTATAGATTTAGTCAACCAAAGAACATATTTAGTATTTTCACTTTGATAAATAGTATGTTTGATGCTTGATGGGGCATATACAGGTGTGTTCCTTGGACTTGAGTTTGTTTATGGACTGGTTTTGGGGCTCTGGGATTGAAAGTGGACCTTGGATACTCTCCACTTGCTCCTTTCGTTCATGTTGTTTTTGCAATTTGACAAAAATATCAGTACTTTTAGTTGATGAAAATGTATACTTTTGGTCATAGTAGATCATTTTGTTTAAGGTCAATAAAAATATGACTAATCCAAACTATGACCGACGAAATTAACACTGCCTATGAACATTTTTTAAAATGTTAATGTTTTATTTAGATCAGGGGTCTCCAACCTGTAGCTCGGGAGCTACCAGTAGCTCTCCGCCCCAGTAGCTCGCTAAGCAATTTCGGAATTATACCATTGTGCTGAATAACAAAAAACTGGTTAATTACATGCCAATTGTATTATGTATGTATCATTTTAAAGACCAACTTTGTGCACTAATAAATGGTTTATGGTTTACAGGCACCATAGGAAAAAGGTTGGAGACCCTTGATTTAGATTATAATTTGGGGAAGGATAATGGACAGAAGAACAAAATATCCTATGTCTGTCAATCTAAAACACTAAATTTCAAAACCTTGAGTAACATTTTGCAAAATTTGCGATGAACTCTGAACAGCATACATGATATCAAAATAGTTTGTATGGAGGGTACAATCATCAGTAAAATTTTAATTTCAATATCTGATTTTTACAGTCATAAAAACACAAAAACTGAACTACTTAATTTAAAAATGTATGTGGTCCAAATGTATTGCTCATTTACCTTATGCATTCTGAGCACCCTAATTTTTCACCGCAATGAGTTTAAAAGCAATTTTCAGGTGTCAGAGCAGTTTTGCTAACAATAACTAGCATGTTAACAGCTGACTTCCTCATTATTGGACATACAGTGCTTTATAATTAGATGCAGACACTGGACATTGGACTTACTTTGACCTTAAGAGCTGTTCATACATATCTGTATAAGAGCAAGAAAAAAATTAACTCAAATATGTGAAAAAAAAAAGAAACTGAAAAAGAACAGGCCCTTTAAAAAAGTAAAAATAGAATTCTTGAGGGGCACTATTATTACTGGAGTCTTACACGCCTAAAGTATTTACCCATGTGATAGGTTTATTAGTTATTAACAATGCATTTGAGCAGGTGCAGAAAAGCTGGAAGTTCAATTCTTGTAAAATACCAAGGACGTAGTACGCACAAACTTGATAAATGTCCAACAGCCCTAAATTCTACCTTGTATAAAATGAGAAATCTCCGGGTTCACATCCTTACATTGGCGTATATACTGTACACATCTGGCTCGGAGTGATTAAAACAGACATAAATTGGCGGGTTGTTACCAGATATTAGACCTGCTCCTTCACATAAACAGACTTTACTTAGGCGGCTGGCCCGGGTATACCGACGGCTGCCAAGGTATATTTGGCACTTCACTTCAGCGCGTCCAGCTTTTCCCATACATTGATTTATTTGTGACAGTCTCTCTCCCACACGTATTGACAAGCGTGCGAGCCGTGAAAACCCCCACCTCTTCACACGCGTTCTGGATCCGATCACAAATCACATGGTTGGGGTCTGCTCTTATAGCTATTCCCAGCAACCAGGACAGCTGAGTTTACAAATGGCCAGTTTCAGGAACACCTCGCACCAGTCAAGACCCCCAAAAAACTGACGAATTCAAGGAAACGTTGTGTTAAATGTTATTATTAAGTCATTTGGTAATATTGACAGATGCGGAGAGTTTCGCTAAGGAAAAATGTGATGTTGTAAATAGCGAACGCAGCTGGTCATAAGTCTTGTCAAAAATGTTTGTTCTTTCCTGTGGCAAATTTACAAGAATATGAATAAGCATAATGATTCTTATCTTGCAAGTGTCTGTGGAAAAATGTGGATTAAAGGTGTACTATGAAACTTTTATGGTGAGATGTCAACAACCTACTGTTTCCATTTTAATGTTTTGCCTGGATTGTTCCAAAGTATGTCATTCAACTTTTCTAACTTGCATTTGTGGGGTCGCCTCTCCGCAAATCTGACCTGTAACTTGGTCTGGTGTTGTTAGACGCTTGTCTCAATGAATACGTTTAATGCCACACTGTGAAACATTCCAGGCAAAGCTATTACATCTACATGGAGACTAGCTGTTTACAAACCCTCCACCAGAAAAGTTACATAGCGCACTTTTAACGTAGTGACAGTATTAAAAACTATGATGCTCAATTGGATTCTTTGGAACGCAGATGAATATGTTGAACAGTGAGCAAATCTTGTTATCTAAAAAAATACTGAAAAAAGGGAAGTGCAGATTGTTTGTGGTAAGTAACTGTTTAACAAATATAAAAATATCAGAAGTAGAATGACTTTGGCGCAAGAAAAAAATGACTTTGTGACTTAGATCTCAACAAACATGTTCTGAAATTCTTATAATTCTAGTACTGAAGCATTAGCCTAATTGCAATTTGTGGAAACCGTCTGACCTCGCAGCATTAGGATTCATTTGCTCGACGATAGGCGGGTATTTTTTTTATTTAACCAATCGCTGCTATTTGGTTCTGAGATATGTAATGGGCAGCTAGCGGGGCGGCATGGTATATTAAGCTTTTCCCACATCCCGTAGGAAGAAGGGCAATTCACCAAACATTTTCTTTGTTCCGGCTTTATATCCTCAATCTCGGGAATCGTTGCCAACACAGAATGTATGGCTTCGTGTACATCTCAACTGTTTTGTTTATTGTTGTGCTGTACCACACAGCTCTTCACTGATTGGCCGATGTGTGGTCTACAACTTCCAGGGTTCTTGCAAACTGTCTAGTGTATTCTGATCCCTGACCTAGTCGCTGGAGAGAAATGAAATTGAGCGGAGGCACTAGGTGGCGCCAGCCTGGCTACTAAAGTGTCATATTTATTAAATGTAATGTAAATGTAATGCTCCTGGATGGGTTTAAAGGTGGATTATGTAACTTTTCCGGTGGAAGGTCACCTGCTTGCCTCCATGGAGATGTTATTGCTTGGCCTGGACTGTTCCACAGTATGCCTTTAAACTTATCTCTGTGGAGACAACCAGCTGACGCCATCAGGTCAAATTACATGTCAGATCTGTGAAAAGGTAACCCCATAAGATTACAGGTGTTTCAAGGCATTTTCAGTTACAGAAACAACTGTAATTGAGAAAATGCAACATTGCTAAATTTAATGCCATACACTGAAACATTCAGGAAAAACAGTAAAACCGTCATGAAGACAAGCAGCTATCATAACCTCTACCAGAAAAGTTACTTAGTGCACATTTCAGATGCTCTGTGAAATTAATCAGGATTTGAAAAAAAAAAAGCTAAGTTTACACCAAAATGTTGCCTGTCCCCATTAATCAATCTCATACAACTAAAATCATTAACTCAATTATATATTAGAAAATCAAATGCCTCATAACATAGCACAGAGCTGCCATTATAACCATTTACTGTGGGCGTTTCCGTGCGTGTATTTCTGCTGCGTCCTCTCCCACAGTGCCATGGCGAGGGCACGATGACTATCAACAGCTTTAGAACAACACTGCCTGGGCCTAAACCAAACAGCTCGCCAGACCACCACTATCTGCAGCATCTAAAGCACACACTGGGAAACCGCATCATTTTTCACCCATGTTTGTCTTCTGTCCTTTAATTGTATCAAATTGTGGTGTGATTGTTGCTTGGGAGAGAGATGAATAAAAATGACTGGCCAGATGGGAGGATTTATGGGTTTATTTCCTAATAGTTATTCAGCGGATTTCACAAGCTGATAAACTCAAAGCTATTAGGTTGTGTACGTTTATGTCAACTGCAGTTTGGGGTTTAAGTACATATGATAGGTTTTTACATTTTTTTCTAATTATTACTTTGTTTGGTGGGATAGTACTAATGGTGAATATTTAGCTCAAATGTTCATCACTCAGATAGGAGTTTGTGAAGAAAAGTTGAAAAATATGTTGAAAATGACAGGAAGTAGTGTTGAGTTCTACAAAAGGTCATCAATACAAAAAGTCCATATAACATGCAACTTCAGTTTGCTCCTGACTGTTTAAAGATTCATTTAACATAAAAAGTAATATATTTTATTTGTCAAAAGACTTGAAGACACAACTCAGAAAATATAATCTTTAGTTTTAAGTTGTTACATGCCATGACAACAGTACTTATTTAAAACATCACCTAAGGAAGATCTACTATATGATGTTTTTATGATTCTCTAATTTTGACTAAATTTGGTGGTTGTAAATATAAATGACAGTTTTACACCAATCAAGAAGCGGTTTGTGAAGAAAAGTTGAAAAATATGTTGAAAATTACAGGAAGTAGAGAGTTCTAAAAACATACTGATGGCAGCACACTATGAAGAATTCTGTCCAAAAGTTTGGCACAATTTACACACAAGAAACACATTTTTCTGATACTTTAAACATGCTTTCAACAAAATAGATGTGTTTTCTTACATTTGTATTTGTCAGATAATTCCCTAGTGTGATGTCACAATTTACAAACAGGAAGTAAACTTTTAAAAATAATTAAATATAATGACCTTAACTGCATTTTAGTAAAATGAGTAGTCTAACTTGTCATAAACACTTTAAATGCAGTTTGGGAGTAAGTGTGCAGGCTTTGTTTCATTTTCTACGCTCCCTTTAGTAGCTGAGCACCATTGATGTGCACATACAGTACCTACTTGTTTTACTTTTTCATCATTCAGTAAACCATGGATAAGTGATGAGGTATTGACAACTGCAAGATAAAACTGCCACGAGATTGTAAGCACATAAAGAGAACGATGTAGCAATATTTATTTCCTAATCTGTACATTTGGCATGGGCATGAAAGGGGTACATTCTGGGAAACTGCGCATCTTTGAGAAGCTGTTTTATGGACGGTGCATAAAATGGTGCTCTAATGTGTATTTCGGAGGGTTATATAACTGTCTATCATAAATAACATATAAAAATGTTAGAAGTAGAAGGATTTGGGGGAGAGAAAAAAAAACTTTGTGACCTTGTGACTTCTCTACAAACATATTCTGAAATTCATAGGATTCTAATACTAATAGAGCATGTCATATTTCTTAAATGTGAATAATGTAATGGTTCTGGATGGGTTTAAAGGTGCACTGTGTAACTTTTGGTGGTAAGCTGTACATCTTTGAGAAGCTGTGTGTTATGGGCGGTGCATAAAATGGTGATCTAATGTGTTTTCAGGAGAATTATACTTATAGGGGATATGTTAGTTAGGAAATCTCATCATCTAAACAATACTGAAAAAAGGGAAGCGTACTGTTTCTGATATGTAACTGTCTATCATATATAAAAATGTTAGAAGTAGAAGGACTTTGGTGGAAGAAAAAAACTTGGCGACCTCATGATTTCTCCACGAGCATATTCTGAAATTCATAGGGTTCTAGTACTAATAAAGCATGTCATATTTCTGAAAAGTGACTAATCTAATTCTCCTGGACAGGTTTAAATGTGCACTGTGTAACTTTTCTGGTGGGAAACTGCGCATCTTTGAGAAGCTGCGTGTTACGGACGGTGCATAGAACGGTGATCTAATGTGTATTTAAGAGAGTTATACTTACTGGAAGTTGGCGACTCGGACAGCTATGGGCACGAATGGTAACTGAGCTGCCCACTTCAAAGTGACATCCTGGTAAACCAGCAGCATGTTGGTGTGGTTACCCAGCAACAGGTTAGTAGTGCCATCCGTCACTGAAGAGACAGAAGAGACAGGAAATTATAGTGTGGGAGATCAGATACAACCATTATTGTCAGTGTACATGAAGGCCTCGTAATGAAAGATGGTGGACCCTAAAAAAAAGTTGTAGGTTAATGGTCCTATATTATTCAAAACTGACTTTTGTGAGCTTTAAGCCATTTCAGAATGTTGTTAGCTCCTCAAAATATACCTGGAGTTGTGTTTTGTTTCATTCACACATGTTTTTCATTCTTTCCACCTCAGTTCACCCAATGAGTTAAACTCTACTTTGTCAAATTTTTATGGAATTTGGTAAATAGGTAAATCATAGACAGAAAAGCCAAAATTTCAGATTTTACTTTGATCGGACCATCGGTTTCCGAGATATCGCTATTTAATTTGATCACTTTTTTGTGTGAATGCCAAATTTCAGATTGCATTTACTCAGCAACTACTGGTAAGTGAAAAAATGAAAGCAACCACTTTTCTGATCATGCTAAAATTTGATATTTTGGCTTTCTTGGATATGACCCATACACCAATTTTTTTGCAACTGGACAATGTGAGGCTTCAAATTGCAATTTTTGGGGGTGAATTGCGGTTGTGATGACCCATTAGTCTACATCTCCAAAGCTCAAGATGTTCTCCTCCACCTTGTGATGTCATGAAGCAGTAGTTTTCAGCTCCCCTTTACCTCTTGTTCAGTAGAAATTGGCAGTTCCAGGTCTGAAATTAAGCAAATGATTCTGGTGAAGGGGTTTACAAACACAGTTCCTTTATTACCACATGACATCACAAGGTGGAACAGAGTATTTACTGTTTGAGAGAAGTTTGTGTGTTAAATGCGTGTGAATGAAACAAAACACAACTCCAGGTGTGTTTGTGATGAGGAAACAACATTATAAAATAGATCAGAAAATAGCTTAATATGGGCCCTTGCATCAACAATTTGCCTGGGATTCAGAATACACAATTGTACAATATTTGACAAGATCGTGAGTCTGGTCACTGTTGAATCTCCCCAAGTTCAGTTCAGGTCTGTCCGTATCAAAACAAATATGTCCACCCATGAGGAAAAAATAAAGCAAAAGAGGCGCGACGAAGGGAGCGGTGACCAGACTAATATCCCTCTGTATAAGAAATACAGAGAGAGACAAATCAACAATAGAAAAACACGTTGCAAAATGTTTCACTCCAAGTTCCACTCCAACCACTCAAATTAAGACTTTATGTAACCTGTAGTTTAACCAGGAAAGTTTAAGAGAGGTTAAGAATCTTGTTTACAAGAGAGGTCTTCTAAGGTAATAAGCGAAATGAAACCTGGTACCGTCTTTTGTGAGAGGTAAGCATGCCACTGTGCCACATTTTATTTCTATGAGCAGTGGAAGCAGCCCAAGTTTCTGGTCCCATTTCTAAATAAAGCAGTGAAGAAGAGTATAGTTCAAGACTTACATGCAAACTCTGAACACAACCACATTTCATAGCAAATTTGTCTATTAAACATTTAGTTAAGATCGGCTGCCGTAAAAAGAAAAAAAAAGACAAAAACATCTAGTAATGACCTGACAAATCCCTAATGTATATAAATTAGAATATACGAAAAGGCTAACAGTGTAAATGAGAAGTTACTAGTTTATGTAATTTTGCTTCTTTAAAGGACAAATATTGTGCTTGATTTGTACTGTATTGTTATTGGCCCTTAACATGCTCTTGAGTACCTTTGCTTTGGCATCTCATGTTTTAAAACTTAAAATAATGGCTTTGTAAGGAACCACACACTATTTCCCAGCTTGGGGGCTACCCATACTGTGATCCAGTACAGTTCGCTATGTACTGGCAGCAGAGGGAAAACAATTAAACTAGCTGATAACCGACATGCCCAGAGATTTCAATATAAACACGCAGTAGTAATGAATGTGATTTGATGGTAGAGATTCTTAGAGCAAGTCTGGAATGATGTATGGACTTTACAAACTGTGCAGAGCTCATACGTACAAAAATGTTGCGTACATGAGTTTCAACTAGGGCTGGGTATCATTAAGAAGTTGCGGATAAGGTATATACCTCGATACTTAGGCCACGATACAATACATATCTCAGTACAGTGAGCTTTCGATTCAATATGATTCAGTACAATATATTTCAAATTCGATTCGATACGGTTCAATTAAAAAATAAAGCCTAACTCATGCCTGTCTTTGTTAATTCACTTTTTGTGCAAAGTTAATCATGAAAACAGTGAGTCGAATGTGTTGAGTTTCCTTCCTCTGAACAAACTACAAATTGTAGCGTTGTAACAAAATCATTTAGTAAAATATACCAAAAAATACTCTTGACGATATATTGATACAGTAGCCCACAATATCGATAATGTATCATTACATTAAACAATATGATATATTGATATTTCGATATTTTTGCACACAACTACTTTCAACGTTAAGTTTGCAATCTATAAAAAGACAGATGAGCTGAAAGGAGATCTGTGCACAGGGAGAGGAGAAGTAAGTAAGATGTAAGGAAGTTTGTGGTAGTTTGTGGAAGTCTGTGGAAGTTTGTGGAAGTTTGTGTTTTTTCCATGTACACATTTAGTAAGAATTCCAGAGAGTGTCGAGTTTCATAAATGAGACCCGAGGCCATCTACACTCCAGGGCATCCACATATGATGCAACAATCCTGAGAAAATTAATACAACATAGTCTTTGTGGTTCTGAGGCAAAGGACTTTTAACAGTTTTTCTTAAAGAAGGTTAGTCAAATCAGCATGAATGGAGCAAATTATAACTACAGGTATGTTTTGGTTGAGGAAACAATGTTATTCATGGGTTTGTCATTCTGAAACCCATGGATAATATGGTTTAAAGCTCAAAAAACTCAAATATGTGCCCTTTAATGAATAGTACACATTTATACTAAGGCTATGTTTATATGATGACGGTCTGAACAGAAGACGCAAAAGTGGCGTCGCGTCTTCACTTTTTATTCCGCATTTATACAAGCATTTTCGGGAGGAAATCTGCGTGCATACGGTGACGCAAAAGTGTGTGGAATTCGATTGGGTATGCATGCCTGGCGGCTAGGTGGTGATGTATGTGATGTTAACGCTTATGCGAAGTGAGCAGATCTGACCAGAGTTTCGCGTCTTGGGCAGTTTAGACAGAAACGCTACGGCAGAGCATATTCAACTTTTCCACTCTGGAGGGTGGTTTCAGATTTTTGTGTTTTTGAGCCCCAAAAATGCCGTCACCGTAAACGAAAGGCACTTCCGATAAAGTATTTTGTCGTTTATACCCGCAAGCATTCTCGTGTAAACAGGCCCTAACAATTACCCTGCTAGAGTCTGAAAAACTGCTAATACATTGCACATCGCTGACATCATCTATTGAGGCAACGCCAACGTCTCCAAGTCCAACATATCAAATACTATAGCTACATATCCACTTTCTCCACTAACTTGTGAAACATTTTAGATTTCATACACACACATACCACCAATGAAGCAGCTACCACCTAGAGAGATCTGAGGTGATGGCCACACGCAAAACAAACATGGCCGCCTCGGAATGGGTGATATTATATAGTAGGCTAAGAGTGGTCAACCGGGTGGTACACAGTAGGGGTCAAAATGACAGAGCGTAGACTTCGCCACATAAAAGCAAACACACACCTTCCCCCCTTCCACATAGTTATAATTACAATCTAATTACAATGGCCTAGCTACGGGAGCGCGTCTAAAATATCAACGCTTTTCTTGTTAGCCTTGCCCAGCTACTATTTATATGTTCTCATCTATGGCTACACACCCTCTATTAACCTGGGTAATATTTCAAATCCTTTTATTTTCTTTTGCTTCCTTCGAAATTTATGTGGCTTTCAATTCTCACATGTCGTAAAAAAGGGGCAGAGATAAATGGCCGTAGTAAAGGCCATGATTCAGAACAAGTGAGGTTAGGAAATGCACAGGAGAGTGTAATCTATACCTGTCAAAGCCAAGGTCTGTGGGCCAAACTCAGCGCATGGGAAATTTCACTTTTATCTAGCCAGCAAAAACATTTGGAAGGTTAATATGCTGGCCGGAGAAGATTGTAACAGGTGGTAGGTTAAAATAAAAGTACGGAAATAGATTTTGAAAAATGAACAGGCTATTGAAATGGTGTACGTATGATTTTTGGGCAAAGGAGTAACATTTCTTCCTAAGAATAATTGTTTTCTATTTAATCAACGTAGCTAAAAATGGAGCATTATAACAGTAACAGTTGAGATATGTAACTACCTCATGTTCTTTTCAACATTTTTTTCTTGATTTTGGTTTGATTATGGTTGGTTAACTTCTGATTGTTTGTTTATTTTATTTTATTTTCAGCTTCTATTAAAAAGATAACATAGTTCAGAGGCATGGCAGAGGTTAATCAGCAATAGGGCAAGTAATGATTATAAAAATAAAAAAAACTATAATAAAAAAAAAAAGAAAATGTTTGATATTCAAATTTCAAAGTTTTATTTTTATAGGTGGTACACTTATGTTTATTTATTTTATTTTAAACATTGATTAAAAGTTTACATAGTTCAGAGGCATGGTGGAGGGTAATCAGCAATAGGGGAAGTAATGATCATTAAAAAAAAAAAAAAAAAAAAAACACTATTACATTTTTTGCTCTTCAGCTTTCAAAGTTTTATTTTTATGGATGGTAAACTTTTAAACCTCTATCAAAAAGTTTCCGTAGTTCAGAGCGAGAGTGAAGGCTAATCAGCAAATGTGTAATACTAATAATTAAAAAAAACACAATTAAAAAATTATAGAAAATTTCAAAGTTTAATTTTCATGGGTGGTAAACTTGTGACTGTGTTTATTTTATTTTGAAGCTGTATTGAAACGTTTACATACACTACTGCTCAAACATTTTAGAGCACCCTAATTTTTCCAGTTATTTATTGCAATTCAAGTCGTGCAAGTCCAATGAAGAGCTTTAAACGGTACAAAGGTAAATACTGAACAGACAGAGGTTTAAAAAAAGATAAAAGATGCAAAACACAAGTCCAAGCTCTACCAAAACTACCTCAGGAATAAAGAACATGACGGTAAACTTGAAAACATGGAGTGTTCAGCACAGTCTCCAGACTTAAACCCCATCGAGTTGGTTTGGGATGAACTGGACAGTGAAAAGCAACCTACAAGTGCCACACATTTATGAGAACTTTTGCAACAGACTTGGAAAGAACTTTCTGAAGAATATTTGATTTCTATTGTAAAAAGAATAAGCCACAAGTGTGTTCAGCTGTTATATCTGCCAAAGGTGGACACTTTCATGAATCAAAAGTTTAGAATATGTTTTGGTCAACAGTAAACAGTGAACAGTAAAAAACTGGAAAAAGTGTGGTGTTCTAAAACTTTTGAAAGGTAGTGTAGTTCGGGACATGGTGAAGGCTAATCAACAGTGGGGCAAATAAGGATAATGCTTTTTTTTTTTTTAATACCTGAAAGTTGATGATTGGAAGATTGGAAAAAGTCTATTGCTCCCTTACTTCTTGCTACTGATGTGTCCTTGGGCAAGACCATCACCCTTCATCACACTGAGTTCAGCACCACTTGTCAACTCCACTCATCGAAGCAATCCAACAAAACTTTGAGTCCTGTTGAAATCTGCTGTAGCGCTTTGGCCTTTATTTGATCAAAACGCTGAGAGCTGCTGTCAGGAGCTTTATTGAAGTCTCATGTGGCACTGTTTACATGGGGTCAAGTCGGACAATATATTTTCAATGGCGGACATGGTAGTGCAGATGTTTCCATGACTTGAGTGGGATCTCCTCTGTGATAGATTTGTGAGTGGTTTTTGATCGTTGACAGCAGTCGCATCCCAATACAAGCTGCTTTTGTTGGGCTGGCACATCAAGCGGTCAAATGATATACTGCTTCCAACTGTCATTTGAATAATCCCAATAGTCTGGAGCAAATATGAAAAATCAAAGTCTCTTTGAAAGCGGAGATATTTTAATTTCGTAGAATTAGAAACAGATACAAGGGAAAGATGTTGGCTACGTTAGAGCCTCCTGCTGTTTCGCCATCTGGTTGGTTTGGTCTCATCATGATTTTAATTCACATCTTTATTTTAGTAATAACAACGGATATTTTTATGTTTGATCCATTTAAATCCTTATTCATTCAGACAAACTACATGATTCTGGAAATAATAATGCAATATAAAAGCTATTTGTTTTTTTTGTAAGTAGCAATGAGAAGTTGGATTAAAATGTTTATATTTTTTTGCCATTATAAATGTAATAGTAGGCCTGCACATACATAAAAGGTTCATCAGGGGCATTTAATAACAGACTATATATGGAAATCCACAGTTGACGAAAACAAGTAATGAGTAGTTAATTAGGCTGCAATACAATTACTGTCAAAATATATATATAATTGATTTGAATAAGCAAATGTTGGTTTGTAGCCTGATTCATCAGCCGGTTTCACTTCATGGAAATTGTCTGACCTCGCAGCATTAGGATTCGTTCGCTCGACAGTAGGTGGGTACTTTTTTTATTTAACCAATCACTGCTATTTGGTTGTGACGTTTGTAATGCGTCAAATCCCGTAGGACGAAGGGCAATAACGTATTTCCCCTTGATAAAATTCAACAAACATTCTCTTTGTTCCAGTTTTAAATCCTTGATCTCTTTAATCGTTGCCAACACAGAATGTATGTCTTCGTCTACATCCATCTCAATAGCTTTGTTTACTGTTGGCCTGTACCACAATACAGACACACAGGCAGGTGCTTGAGTTTGACGTCATGGCTTCATAGCTCATCGCTGATTAGCGGGTGCACAATCTACAACTTCCGGGGTTCTTGCAAACCGTCTAGTGTATTCCGGTTTGCCCTATGTCCCTAGAATGTATCAGTTTAAAGATGACATTATAACCTCTCCCTGATAACATGAATCTGTTACTATCAGTCTGAGTCCTTCTATCCATTCTAACCCACGTCCTAGTGTACTGTTGAGCCTACATAATACTGTTATTTTGATGTGTGAGTGCTTACGTACATGATGCATAAGGGAGAAAGCAGCTGGGGTTGTATTCCAGTTTCTTCATGAAGCGGATCTGACCATTGTCACGGAGACAGTACAGGTTCCTCTCCCCCAGGACAAAGATGGAGGAAGAGGAGTGAGAGAAGGAGGGCACGGACAGCTCCAGGGCCTGCTCTCCCAGAACTAAAGTCCAGTCAGGCTACAACAGGAAAGAGTTCAATTTTTTAGATGGAGACTGTACTAAACATATTTTTCCTTTATATGCTGATGATAGGAATTTAGGAAAGATAACATGATGTAAGTCTGCACTAAAATTATTACTAGAATTATTTCCAACCTACCGTCAACCTCTTGCCTCCACTTTTCACAGGCAGGTCGGGGTCTTGTCTGCTTTCTGCTTCTGTGGCCACTGCCAGAGTTTCATACCTGTGAATCAACACCACACTTAAAAATACTGATACGGGCTGGTTCACACTGTTGTCTATTTCAGTCTGTGATTCTTTGTCTGCCTTTTTTTGTACAGCACTTTTCACACATACAGATAACAGAAAACCTTATTCATCATAAAAATAATAAAAATATATTACAAATTATTATTTTGACTCATGCAAGTTTTCTTCCTTGTTTCATTCGTACATGTTTGAGTAACTCTTTATTATTAGTCTGTCAACATCTCCAAAGATCTAAATGTTGTGTTTCATTTTGTGATGTCATGTACCTGTAGTTTTTAAGTTAGTTTAAGTTAATAGCTGCCTTTTAACTTTAGTTCAGTAGAGATTGGCAATTCCATTCGATACGATATATTTCAAATCGATTTCAGTATAATGAAAATAAAGGCTAAATCATGGCTGTGACACTAAAAGTCTTTGTTAAATCACTTCTTGTGCAAAGTGAATATGAAACACACACATTTTAATCATTAAAACAGTGAGAATGTTGAGTCATAAACGAATTTCCTTCCTCTGAACAAGCAACAAAAGTGTAGCGCTGTAACAAAATAATTTAGTAAAATATACCAAAGATGCTCTTGGTGATATATCGATACAGCAGCCCACAATAGCGATACTGTATCATCACATTAAACGATACGATATATCGATATTTTATAGTTTTGCGCACCCTTATTTGAGATCAATCAATCAAACTTTATTTACAGAGCGTTTCTCAACACTCAAAGAGACCAAAGCGCTTCACATTAAAATGAACACAAAATAAAAACATGCAAACAAATTAAACACAGAAATAAAACTGTGCAAAGTGTCACTGCATTACTGGGTGTTGAAAACCAATGTGAATAGATAAGTTTTGACCCTGGATTAAACAAAGTAAAGTATGTGATGGTGCGCATATCTGGGGGCAGTTTGTTCCAGAGTCTGGGGCCAGATGTAGACAGACAAATAACAAAGGGTTACTCAAACATGTGTGAATGAAACAAAACACAATTCTAGGTATGTTTTTGATGAGGAAACAAGGTTAAAACAGATCAGAAAATAACATAACATTGGCTCTGAATGAGGCCTCACCAAATAATATCTGGGTATAGACTTTTTGACAACCCTAGTGTACATTTTTAAGATTTTCTAATGCAGATGTAGATTATAACAGACCATATTGCCCACTGACTGCCCATTCTAAGATGTATTTTTGAACAGAGACTTTATAGTAGTTGCCGCATAGTTCTTCTGTGAATAGTCCAACAAGCTGCTTAATGGACGGCTGCCAATAGTGAAACCTTGTGATCAGTCAAACCATAACTATTTCCTATTTCCTGTCATAGCAAGTGGCCTGCAGATTAAAAGGGCCACGGTTCTAGGCTTTGGATTTGATATTGTCATTAATACTAAAACAACACTGCTATATGTACCAGTACCACCTTTCTCTGGCTAGTGATGGCTGTCCAGTCATGAGGTACTGACCGGACAGGGAGGGAGAGTTGGAGCCACTTTGATTAATGGAAGTATTAGAAAAGGCTACACACAAAGCATACAATGTTCTACTTGATGGATGAAAAAAGCAATGCTGAAAGATTTGAGGAAAATATCTACTGTAATTAAAATTTTTCTGACAAGCATTGTGATTTGATTTGCTGTTTATGTTTTAAAAATAGGATTCTGATCAAATTTTACACTTACATACCAAGAGTGAAATAGGCCTATGAAGAAAGTAACAAAACAATCATATATACTTCAGAACATGTTTGTGGTAGGGCTGTATTCAACTAAAAATATTCTCTCATCACTACTCTACATCTGCACAGGAGTTCATGCAAAAACATTTATTTATTTATAATTTATGTATAAAAAAAAGTACTAAGAATCAGTGTATTTATATAAAGACACATTCAGTTTGTGACTCATGAGTTTAATCTGCCTTTTTACATACAAAAATATGAAAAAATGCCAAATATTCAGCTAACACTTACAAATTTCTCTTTTCTACTGTTGTCCATTGACCAGTTGCCATATTTTTCGGAATATAAATCGCACTTTTTTCATGGTTTGGGTGGTCTGCAACTTATACTCTAGTGTGACTTATATATTCAATTTTTCACGCTGACAGGCGACAGAGGGCGATCTGGGCTTGTGTGCCAGTATCTGCTATTCCTATTACTTATACACTGTCACTTCGTGCTCTACTGCACACGCCTCCTGCAGAAAGAGCCGCTGTTCTGCTGCAAGTGGCGAAATATGCAGCCAAAAACAGTAATCGAGCAGCAGAAAGAAAGTTTGGAGTGAGCGACAAACTTGTAACAACCTGGAGAATGAGCCATGCAACTTTCCTGGAAGTCACTGGATCGACAAAGTCTGGACTTAAGTGACAACCGAAACCATCCTGTTGGGATTCAGAAAGGACGGAATAATTCTAACTGGAACTGATGCTGAGTCTGACGACAGCTATGCAGAAGAGGACGTGGCGCTCCGTTTACCTCCGGAGGTCACAGAGTTGCTCAGAAGTGACACCGAGGATGAAAAATTGTATGGATTTAGTGATTTGTAGTGAGATGGAGAGTTTGGTAAACTTGTTCTCTTCTGTTGTTTATGCTATAGTTATCTGAGTAACTGTTCATATGTGACATTAACAGTCTGTTGTTCTCTGTTCTATTGTTATTACTGTAACTTGCCTTTCAAGATGAAATGCCTGTTCTTGGTCAAATAAATTTACCCCCAAAAGTGCAACTTTTAGTCCAGTGCGACATATATGTTTTTTCTTCTTCATTACGCATTTGTGAGCTGGTGCGACTTATACTCCGGAGCAACTTACAGTCCGAAAAATACGGTAATCGACTAAACTACTAAAGGTTTACAGACCTAGTTTGTACAGATATGAATTACAGGGTTTGCAGTATTTACATAGAATAAAACAGGATATTTTGTTGTTTGTCGAGGAAATTATAGTACTTTAAAAATTGCTGCTTTTGAAATTTGCAAATATTGTCCATTGTGATTTAGCGATTTTAATTCAGTTGTGATTAATCTTGTTGTAAGCCAATCCTAAATGATCATTAACAAATGTGCCTTCAAATATATGCATTCTTACTATGAGTGGGCCCGCCTCTCCACAGATCTGACCTGTAACTTGGTCTAGCGACAGCACCTACTTCTCTCCATGTTATACAATGAGGTAACGCTAATACGTCAGGGCTGAACGATTTAGGAAAATATCAAATTGCAATATTTCTCACAAGCATAAACGCATCCAGCAGAATTGACAGAAAAGGTTGAAAGATGGACTGAGGAACTAATACAAGAATCACATTTCAGAACATGTTTATACAGATCTAAACTACAGGGTTAGCAGTTTTCATGCAGAAATTTTGTGGTTTGTGGAGGAAATAACGGAAATCAAAAATTGCAGCCTTCACGATTAATCTTGCAACTCAAACCAAACACGCAAACCTGTTTTCAAATTTTCACATTTACTCAAACTAAAAATACAAAATACAGGTCATTCAGCTCTGAAAACATCCCAAGCAAACATAAGCAAGGAGCAGCCCAGTCTTTTTAAAGGCACAAGCTGAGCGTTATGTCACTGGTGGAGCCAAAGGGCCTTCTCATTGATATGAAAGGGAACTCTTGGCCAAACACGCCGATTTACTTTTGGCATATTCATCAACTAAACATGGACACATTCTAAATATACTGACAGTGTACCAGTATACGCACTTGCTAACCTCTGTGTCATGGACAAACTGCAGCTCAACGCCACGGCCAAAACTCACACAGAGTCCAGGGCTAACACATCAGGCTAACATTGACGGGGCCAGCAGGCTAAATAAACCATCTATTTGAGCAGTCATCTGATATGCAATCTGAGACGCTCTGGAGATCTGCTCCATTTGATATAGAGGGATGTGACGCTTTAACGCCTTGGAAATGGAAGAAATGTAGCTGTATTATGCTAAAGAATATGGATGGGTGAAATATTGATATCATATCAGCTGACATGATATCAGTCTTTTTTTTACATTAATATTCCATACCGATAATTTATGTTATTAGGTTCTGTTTTCAGACCAAGAGTTTGTTTTCATACGTGACAGTTTCGACTGCTCCCCTGCGGTCTTCCTCAGAGTGGTCACGTGATGTTGTTTTTAAAGTAAATTTGTGGGCCTTGTTATCGGTTTGAAAAGCTTGGTATCGGCAAATATTCGTTATCGATCACAGCAGCAAACCAAAGATCGCAAATCGGTATCAGCTCAAAAAATCCATATCAGCCCATCCTTGCTAAGGAATTCAAACATTTTAAAGTGCATATATAACAGGTTAGAATATTCATTTCATTAAAACTAATATTTTACTAAAACCTTTGCCTTTTTTTTTTGTCATTTTTTCATGGGCAGCAGATATGACACACTTAGAGGTAAACCAAAACTTAAATTACACAATTGCTATGAGTATAAAAATAGATGACAGCACTTTCATTTTGTTAAACGGAGCTTTAAACTTAAAAATATGCTCCTTGCCCATAAATGATCCCTGCATTTTCTATGGAATTTTCACTGCTGATGACATGGATAGAGATATTCCATTTTAGAACTCACCACTACTTCCTATATTTTTGTATTTTTCTTCTTAACTTTTCCCCCCACAAACTGATATACAACTATGATAAATATTTAGCAGGGGTACTATATTATCCCACCAAACCAAGTAATAATTAGAAAAACATGAAAACCTGTGATACGCACTGACTTCAAAACCACTCACTTCTATTGTCTGTCATTTATCCATCACTCTACCACAACTTGCCATTAAACAGACCAACGTTACGCTGTAATTAACGAGTAATTTATGTTAGCACACAAGCACATATTGGCTTAATAACCTTCTTGAAGCGGTGACTCCCATTTGCCCTCTGCTACAGTTACTATGTCCACAGAGCCATTGCCAGCAGCAGTGAAAGAGATGTGAAGTCAGTGTTTCCAGAGGAGTATCTATGGGAGGTTCTTGATACACTTTGGGGGGAAGATAACAAACAGCTGTGGGGTCTGGGAGAGAGGCGTGTGAGGGCAGAGGGGCTGCGGAGATGCTAGCCAAGTCTCCCCGTTGCTCTGTGTGCTCCCTGTCCACGGGAGATCGGGGCTGAAGAGGGGCAGCTGCGCACCCAATGGACCGCGAGGAGAAGTTGAAAAACAGTCGGTCAATGGCGTCTGTGTGGGACGGGCTTTAGAACAGACTAAGGCCAAGCTGGGAGACATTTGTAGTAGTTCCCTAACAGACAAGAATTAACTGCGCAATGTGAGAAAAAGATCAGATAATTGATTGTTTTGAGATAAGTTACAGTAAGTTAGTTTAAAACAAAAATGCAGTATGCCTTTGTTTACAAGTCAAACTGGGTTAAAATAAAACGTAAAGTCCACAGGAAACCGAGACGCAGACCAGAAGCAAGCTGAATGCGGGCAGCTGCACACCTGATGGACCACGAGGAGAAGTTGAAAAACAGTCAGTCAATAGCATCTATGTGGAACAGGCTTTTGGAATGGACTGACACCAAGTTTGGAGAGATTCGTAGTAGGGCTGCGCAATATATAGAAAACTAATCTGTTGTTGTAGTCTGAGAGTTTGAAGAAGAATCACGACTCAGGACACAAGGACATCAACCCTAAATACACTGTGATAGTACTATCCATTCCAGTCTAGTCCAGTCTCAGTCCAGTCTCAGCCCAGAGTCACTGTCTAGCTATGCTTCCATTGTAGGGAGTATTATACCTCTGATGACATAGGCCAAGACAACAACGATTTCTCTATCAGAATTGAAATTTGAGTTGGTGTACTTATCAATTCGCAAAAGCTGCAATTATTTAGATCATTGTTTCCCCAAACACCGGGACTTATGGATCCTCTTATTGCTGGTTCAATGACTGTTTTGTCATTGTTTAAAAACTGAGTAATACTAATTGTTCAGTGAGACACGATCACTCAGTCAACAATAAAATATCCTCATTAATGTTCAATAATGGTCAAATTACAAATAATGTCTAATGACTTGGGTCGCGAAGGTTTGTGACTTTTAAAATATGGGTCCTCAGAAAAAAAGTTTGGGAAACACTGATTTAGATAATACAAATGATTTTGCCAAGGACAAAATATCCTGTCTTTTTTATAGAAAAAAAAGTTTAAAAGTCTTTGGACATAGTATTGGCTGCTATTATAAAATGTAACAATGTTTAGTGATGTCAGTATCAAATAAACACATATAAAACCCAAGTCTGTGTCAAAATCTCCGTTTACTTCTTAAATAATGATGAGAAGAAAAGCGTACTTGTAGCTCTCCAGCTGGCGAGCAGATGATACAGTGAGGAAGCTGTCAGTGGGGAGAGCCAGAGGTCCTGGTCCAGTGAGTCAAAAGAACATCAGCATGGACTGGATACACAGTGAGAACCAGATGAATGGACTTCAGAGACAGAGAAACAGTACAAAATGTTCACATTCAGGGATGTAAAAAAGTTGTGCACAAGAAGCACAGTGCTCATGAGCTTGTACAAACTCTGCCACATTTTGCAATGCATATTATGTGTGGAAATAATGGGTGTGAATTCTGGAGTTTTTATAGTACACAAACTAATTTAAATATTTAAAGAATCTGAGGAGCAAGAACACTGTGCAGATGTGACTAGTCAAATATGACAGCCAGTTTTATAACCCAATGCAAATGCAGTCTTTCCATTGAGTTTACAAAGCCAATATTGTATTATTTGGAGCTGTATCAAATTCATGTCTCTGTATGAAAAGTTTGTCCTCTTATGATTGCCATGCAACAAATGAGCACAGAATGTATAAAAACATGAAAGGTGATGAGGTAAATATTGTTTTATTTCCATTTTTGTTCTGGTTTTCCAGCTGAATCCATCAGAACGAGCCCCACATCAGGTTGCCAGATCCTACAGCTTAAACTGAACATTATGTCTTCAGTACAAACACCATAGAAATTCTTATGATATAAATTACAGCTACAATTTCGATTTTGCTTTTTATTTAAAAACGTGCGCTGTTTCACCATGTTTTTCACCAAATCACCATTTTGGACACGAATGGACTAATACGTCTCTTTGATTGGTTAATCTGCCTGTCAATCATGCCCTGTGAAATCTGGGAGACAGGATAGAGCTCCAGATCCACTCGTCTTTGTAAAGTTTTGTGATTCTGGCTGGACAGGTAACTGGTGTGTTAAGAGAGAATACAACAGGGGCATGTCGACCAATCAAATTACAAATGGTAGCTTTAAAGGTAAATTGTGTAACTTTTTTGGTGCGTGGTCCGTCACACTCCACGGAGAAATTGCTGTTTTGCCTGGAATGTTTCACAGTATGGCTTATCTCTCACCAATTTTACTTTCCAAAAACAGTACACTTCTATAAAATCAAGAAATTTGAGTTGATGTGATCTCTACTATTACGTCAACCAGTACTGCGATACCGATATTTACACTACACATTGTACAGCTCTGACAAGAAAGGTGTCCAAATAGTTTTCACTGTGACACCATGTTGCGCTGAGGTGTGCTTTAATCCAACAGATCCAGTGACACCTCCTCCACACACGCGGCCTCAGACTGAATAGGTGTTTGTTAGTAAAGGGGGCTTAATGCGTGCCGTACAGAGACCATAGCTGCTCATAAAGTGGGCCTGTGTGGGACCAGAGGACTATAATTAGGCCTCGACGTGCTATTAAAACTCACACAGCATCAGCTACAGGTCAGGCATACAGCCACCTACTGCGCTCTGCAACCAGCAACCCAAACCTGCACCGCTAAGCACCTAGAAGGCTGTGGATACCTATGCAATGTAGTCTTGTGTTGTTATGTCAGTTTTTGTATGAAGAACTGTTGTAGTTTATTGGAAAAGGGACTCATAGAAGTTATAATATTAGTAAAAAAGTGTATTAAAGGCCTTGTACAAAATGCGTCTTCTCCAGTATAGATATTCTGTATAAGCTGCTCTTGAGGTCAAAATAAGTCAGTTGTGTCCTGTCTGCATCTAATTAGAAAGTGATTTATTGTCCAAGAATCAGGAAGACTCCTTACTTGGCAGTGTTAAAAAGCGCTTATAAACTCATTGTAGTGATTAATTAGGAGGTTCGGAAATTGAGGAATAACTTTGGACCACTTTCAAATGAACAAATTCTGTTTTTCAGTTTGTAAGACTGGAAAAATCCAGTACAGCCCCAAAAAACTAAAACTAAATCAAACTAAATCAAAACTAAATGATAGAAAATGCAATGTTAGAATGCATTGTTTATTGTAGGTTAATTAAAGTGACAGTTCCGATATGGAAAAAACGTGTCTGTTTTGGGGACCACAGGATTTCATCTCTGCTGTTTGCAGATGATGGTGTCCTGATGGCTTCATTGAACCAGGACTTATAACAGGCACGGGGTGGTTTGCAGCTGAGTGTGAAGCGGCTGGGATGAAAATCAACTCCTCCAAATCTGAGGCCATGGTTCTCAACTGGAAAATAGTGGCTTGCCCGCTCCAGGTGGGTGGGGAGTCCCTGCCTCAAGTGCAGTGAAGTATGGGAGTCACTACTGCTGCCCTGAGACCCTGAGGACAATATTATAAACTTCACACAAAAAAAAAAAAAAAAACAGGGAAGGGTTAGCAAAATCTTAAAATGGATTCATTTTAATTATGTTTTAGTGAAAAGACTAGTCTAAACTGGCTTATACCAGATAACTGCTAAATGCCATGCATTATTTTTGTATAACCACACAGGCAGTTCCAGCAAATGTTAAGAATTGTTCTACATCATTACGCTGAGTGCATCATCATATGGACGAGTAAACAAATGAGTTAGGAAGGAAGTTAGCTTCAACTAAAACAGAAATAACTAATGCTTTCAACATCCACACACTGCTAAAAAGTTGTCAGGTTTAAAAGGGAATCATTTTCAGTTTGCACTTATGAACCCATTTTGGTGAATAATTAGGATGTTCAAAATGCATAAGGTAAGTGAGGAAGAATTTGGACCACTGCAAACCCTTTAAAAATGAACAAATTCTGGTGTTGTGGCCAGTGCCAGTGCATTAAAACAGTTGAATGCTCCTTGTTGTTTAATTCCTACATGTGCACTTTAAAATATAGGGACTCTAAGAATGTTGTGATGACATCTGAAACCCAGCAATAACAAGCACATAAATTACGTCTTTTGATTCATTTCTGTGTCTGTTTGAGTTGTGTTCTGCAGCCTGGTGTGGTGTGGCCTGACCCTGACCCAGGCCCATGGGCAGTGAGCTATTAAAGACATATTAGCACAGAGCTGCCCTTACTGCGCCTACAGCACTGCTAAATGGCTGCTATTATAAAGCCCAGCGCCTCTCCTCCTACTTTCCTCTCCGGCTCCATCCAAAACCCAAATATGCATTTAAGCACCACAGACAGAGGACACATCTGGCTGCTCTGGCAAACTTAATCCTGTGCACTTCTATTCATGAAAATGTTCTATGAATTGTATATTTTTACTCCTTTTGCTGTAAAGTTCATTCTCAATGTCCTATTCTTATGTTGGGTGAGCCGTTTTGGCACACTGTTAAAGGAGCACTATGTAACTTTTCTGGACGGAGGGTGGGGACTTCTCAATGAGGATGTTATTGCTTTTTTTCACATGTTCCACGATATGGCATTAAACATTAATATCTTGCATTCATTCACTTACACGTGTTTTTATTACTCAACAATCCCTGAAAAAAAAGCATGCTTCTGACTGTGAACTGTGTTACCTCTCCACAGATCTGACCTGTAAGGTGGTGGACATAGGGTGCTTTAAAGTTTGCAGTGCTGATTTCTGGTAAATGTGCCTGTGTCCTGAAAATGTGCTTTAACCCCTGACTTTATAGTTCAGATGAGAATTCACACAAGGTGAATTAAGGCCTTGTGTAGCTGGATGCCAATAACAGGGTCTCTTCCTCCATCTAGTGGTTCAGATGGGAAGTGCTAAGATTCCAAATTAAGAGCAGGATTCTCATTGTGTTTCTTAGCTTTTGTGCATTTAGTTATCAAGAGTATGGCTGAACAAAACATACCTAAGGGCATTGCAATTAGATCTGCAATTTATGTTTTAATAAAAGGATTCTATTTAATGTTCATATTTTAAACACGTCCAGAAGAATTTGTATTAATCTAAACTACAGGGTCAGCAGTATATATGTGGAATAAGACAGCATATTTAGTTGTTTGTGGAGAAAATTATACCACTTAAGAAATGACCTGTGATCTTATTGTTAAAATGAATGGCAATGGCGAAGATTGGCAGTGTTGCATCCATCAGTCTGCCCCAGGTCAGCTGTGGCTACAACAGCAGCTTACCACCACTGAGTCTGGAGTGAATGAATAATGTACTGTAGAGCGATGTGGGTGTCTTGAAACATGCTATATAAATGCTAGATTATTATAATGAATGTTAAATTACTTTCTATTGAAAATTGTGATTTTGATTATGATTAATCTTGAACAGTTGAGATTTCAGGAAGATTTTTTTTTTATACAGCAACAGAGTCTTCCAGGAAAACCTTGCATGGAACAACACACATTAAGTCCACTGTGAGCACGTGAACCCAAACCGAGCCAAGACACTGGTTTGACCATGGCCACGCTGTTCTTTCTATCAATCACCATTAACACACAGTGAATTATAGGGCTCCCATGCCAGCCCACAGAGTCCAGTACCTCTCTGCTGACACAAGCCTTTCACAGAGGTGGGTACAAAGTATACTTTTCTGAGTATTTTTCTAGCAACATACTTTTACTCTTACTTGTTCTGTCCTTCACATTACATTAACTTTAATTCCTAAATCAGATGTTACATCCAGACAGAAACATTTACTCTTACTTGAGTAATATCTTGGACCACTACCAAAGGTGGGTAGAGTGGCCAAAAATTTTACTGACAAAAGAGTAACATTACTTCAAAATAATATTATTCAAGTAGAAGTATAAAATAGTAGTCTAAGAAATTACTTTGGTAAAACTACTACTCAAGCAAGAGTAACTTAAAGATATAACATATGATTTATAATTTATGATTGAATGCTATTAAGGACACAACAAAAAAATCTGGTATCAAAGGTCAAAGGACAGACACAAACATGAGAAAACTAAATTATATCTGAAGGAGCGATGCAAGAAACACACATTTTTAAAATCATCTCATATTGTCCACATAAAGCTTTTGTCACTTATTCACAGTGGGGAGAGTACCTCAATCTTTACACAAGTAGTGCTCAACCATACTATTACCTCAGTTAATCAAGTAGGACTAAAAGCATGCTGCTGGAAAAGTAGTCTTAACTATACGATTTATTTAAAAACTTTGTTACATTTGCTGAGTTACATTGACTTGACTGAGAACTACCCACCTCTGACCACTACTTTGTACTTGTACTTGAGTAATATCTCTTGTTCAAGTGCAATTTTTGGCGACTCTAGCATCCTCTGGCCTTTGAACAATACCAGCTCTATTTGCCACAGCCTTCCCCACTCTGTGCAGTTAAAAGGGGATTCCCCGGGCATGTGCATGTTTAGGTGCGCGTGAGTTTTTCTTGGAAGTGCTAGTCGAGGGCTTTCCCCTTCTAGGTTTTTCCACACGCCAAACAGAAAACGGAGGGAGCAGATACGTGACCCCTCTTTCTTTTTTCTTCTTCTTTCCATTCACTATTTACCGCGCCTTGCACAGATTTTTATACTTGTCTGTATTTATCCAGTCCAGTCAAATATATTACCAGTGGCAGGGTATGGCAGTGCTACTCTTGGGTTGTCAAAAGTATCAAAAATCAGGCATAGCATTTTCAACAATGCTCTTGTCTAGCAGCTTATGGTGATGGCCAGACACTGTAGTGCTATTGACAGTCTATTTGGTGCCTTAGTTTGCTAAAGATTGGCATGTTTTTTGTGTATTTACATAGAACTATAATAAAAACTGGATAAGACACTCTCCCATCTGTCCTGAAGCAAGTTTGATTAGTGGCCACAATGCAAGCGGTTATAGGAACGAATTTGGAGCCAAGCTATATAGTAGGAATAGGGATTTATTAACGGACAAAACAGTGAAATAAAAACGCCAGATCAGGTAGCGGGTTAATACGAACATTTTAAGACCAAAATGACGAGGCTCACAGCAGCAGTTACAGAGAGAGGGATGACAGTTTGTAAATGTAAAGAATGGAAACGGAGTCAATGGAGCCAGAAGGGCCCCCGTGAACACTTCCTGTTTGGAACAGGGCGGTTAGTGGGTTAGCTATGTCCGTTTATTGTTTATAGTCTGTACTGTACTGGTTGAAGGATGGGTCAAATGCCAAGAATGAATTTCCCTTAGTGACCAATAAAGTATTTTAACATATCCACATGAAACAAAAATTGACACAAAGTTAAACATCTTTGTCAGGATAAATGAACAATAGTGTGTGCCATAAGAATAATCTAACAAATAATACATTTCAACATTGGGAATCCTAAATTTTAATATTTCTTTCAAAAACAAGAGTTACAAAAGCCCCTGTCCTCCATCTGAACTCATCAACATGACCAATTTCTTTCACTTTTACAATGTCTGTGTTTAGTGCATGTGCTGCCCTCACCTGTGACCCCTCCAAAGGTCCCGTAGGTCATGTTGCAGGCGGTCCGTTGCAGGTTGTGTTCATAAACTAGCTTCAGCTGGTACTGGTCCCCATGCTCCACGTTTCCCGCTGTGCCTAGGTACACACATACACACACACAGAGGTATTACAAACAGACTTTCAAATGAAATGTCTTTTCCATTAAAATGTCTATTGATTTTACATGACTCATTCAAGCAAGGATACCCAAGTTTCAAATTTTCTTCCCAGCTCTCACAAACAAGTCCAAACTTTTTTTTTTTCTTTATGTTTACTACTTTCTACTACTACTACTTACACTGACATAAATGGAAGGCATCAAATATATGAAGCAAGATGTAATTATGTAGCAATGAAAAAAGATTTACAATATGTTGGGTTACCATGCTTTTGGAATCTTACATTCCAGTCCTGTACCCTACACTTACAATATAATTTTAAATATAGGGTTTATCTCTTTTATCCCATATCTGAACTGTGACCAGTGTTTAATAATAATAAAGGATTTACGTCAGGAGGACATGATCTTTAGCCCCATAAGGGAGGTAGGTTCCCATGATGTGAATGTGCACAGATTTTAGTCTCCACACTGTGGTGAGCTCTACTTTAGACTATTATCTTTGTGCATCAAGTTACTCTTTAAGTAATATTTTATATATTTTACATATGTTTTATTGTTTCAATATGTTGTGTTTCATGCTGCAAAGCACTTTGGTGCAACTTGTTATGGTTGTTTTTAAATGTGCTATATAAATAAAATGACTTGACTTGACTGTGATATATAGATGATGTACAGACACTAATATATTTTTACTATTACTGCAAACCTACCTGAAACAGAATATACTGACAGCTTCCGAGGGTGAAGAACAGCCAGGTGAAGGAGATCAGAACACCTGAATAAACACAAAAAAAATCTAATAATGGTAACATATCACTGTCATATTGCAGTTTGAGTTGGCATAATTATCAAATCACAAAGACTGCAATTGTTTAGGTTATAGAATGTCCACTGTAAACCAGCAAATATTCAGACTTTTTATTAAAAACTCTTTCTAGACCTCTATAAATATGTTCTAAAATAGATTCTTGTATTAGTTTATCAATTCAAATTTTAGTCTTCTCTCAAATGTGAATGCTCCTGGAGTTGTTTACAATGTGCAGTGTGCACAATATGCACTTCTATCACAGATCTAAACACAACTTGACAGAAAAACAACTATTTAACTTTATCCCTAAACTATGCAGCCCTATTATATACTTCTCAAGATAAGTGGGGAGCAGCCAGTTGGGAAGCACTGGTACAAGCTAAAGTACAAGCCAAGGTCTGTTTTTTGTGAACTCTCCAATAGTTTTTAAAGGAACTGCGTCCTGAAAACCACTGGGTAACTAAAGATGACATGTCCCAAACAGACAGTGGCATTCTGTTCCCAATATGATGATGAGGTGGGACAAACCGCCAGGGCTGTTCCCAGAATCATACCCCATTATGGAAAACGCACATCGGCACGTTTTCTCGGCTCCAGTATTGTCAATGTGTTAATGGACCAGATCTGATGATTCGTGCGTATTAAAAAGGAAGATAAATATAGGTTTGTGTGGGACTTTGGCTGTTTAATTGCTGTAAATCACAAGGAGCAAGAAAACCATAGGAAATGACTGCATGTTAATCTGGTTATAAGCAAAGGGAGGGATGGACTATGAATGAAATGAGATGTGAATGGGTGTTACTGCCTGGAATTCAAAGGCCTTATTATAACACAGAAAGTAAAGATGTTCGTGGGAAATGGACCATCATGACCATAACAGAGGCGCATAGGTTGTGTTCAAGTTCTAGAATTTGCACACGAAGTGACTCCCCCTTTAGAGCGCTATCACAACACAATCAGCGTGCACCCTGCTAATGAAACTCCTGCACATGAAATCAGATTTGTCAAGTTGCAGTGCATTGTTTTGTATCCTGCTTTTATGAAAAATTGCTGTGCAGGAGCATGGGTTATGTGGACTTGTGGGCCGAGTCTTAACACAACATTATAACGCTATAAAAGCTCTGAAAATTCGATAATGCATAATACCCCCTTTTTGACGTGTACAGTGACAGGAGCATTGTGATTTGAGACTCGCGAGAGTTCTGTAGACTTACAAAGTGATAATCAATGCACCCTGCCACACCGACCTCGGCAGAGTGCAAATGTGGGTCCAGGTGAGATGGGGGTCTACGGAAAGAATTCACGAGTCCATTTGTCCCAGATACCGCACTGGTCTGGTGTGGTTTTCAGGTTATTGGACACAGTCATGTTATCACTTGAGTCTATGTCTTAACTGGTTTAACAATCAATCTGCAAGTACCCAGCTTGCAGTTAGTGTGAACCCAGCATAGACATATTGGGAGAAAACGTCCATATATCCAAAAACAGTACAGAGCCATGGAACTGCTCCTTTAAAGGCTGGAGAGGTATTTAACAGAGTGTCAGAATACTTGGTAAAGTGAAGTGAAGAACAACTTGAATAGTTGACTTTGTACGAATAAATTATCTACATATTTTTTGCATGGTTTATTCTAGAAGGTTCTATAAACTGTACTCACGAGACAAACTTGCCCAGCTCCACTTGAATGATGGCATTGTGGAGGTTGACTTCCAGCAGCTGAGATTCAGCCAGGCCCTGGGCTCCTTCACTGGGTTTGTTGGCGTGAGGAGAGAAGATCCGCAACATCCCCATGTAGCTCCCCACCACCAACTTATCTACAGGGACGAGATCAGGACACGACAATGGATGAGTACATAAAAACAAATGAGTACATAACAAACAATGACAGCAATTTTCCACTGAAAAGCAGTTTGTAAACAGCAAAAAAACATAGAAGAAAAACACTAAGTAGAGTTACATTAAACCAAAAACATATAAATAAACATTATTTTTTTGTTTTGGTCAAAAAATATAAACACAGGACAAAATCATGACAAAAATTTGACTTCCATGTATATGGCTTAAATTTGTTTTGCCCCAACACAGCCCCAGCCTTTAACTGATTATGTACTGACACTTTGCAGCAGAACTTAATCTGTACTTTTTACACAATCTGAACATGAAGAACTGACTTCATCACAGGTTGTTTAAATCAGAATTCAGACAATCTTAACACTTTTTGGGTGTGTTTGCTAATATGGGCATTGTGTCACTATGGTAACTTCTAAACATTCCACCATTAGAGATACATGAACAGCACCCCCCCAGCATGATGTCACTGCAAAGTATAAATCAGTCAATCAGTTATCATTGTCGACAGTTTGCTATTTGCTTTAGGAACGAAAAGTGGGAATATGATCATCACTAAATAGACTGTTTCAGCGTTTACTTTTTCTGCATTATGTGTCTGTACATTATTAGGACAAACCCAAACACTGACCATGTCCAGTGCCGCTGTTGTCCACGTCACCAACACACAGACATCCTTGGTCAAACTCCTCCCCCTCGCCCAAAGCCGACGACCACCAATCACGGGCTTTGAACAGAGACATGCTAGAGACAAGAGAGAAAAGACACAAGCACTTTAGTATAGACACGGTAACTACGATGACTAGCTTAGATTGTAGAAAAAGAGAGACATTGCATATGACAGGTCATGTTTTTCTAATTATTGCTTGGTTTGGTGGGATAGTAACAGTTGGAAATATTCATCGTTTTACATCAATCAAGTGACAGTTTGTGGGGAAAAAAATGAAAAAAAGTACAAAAATACAGAAAGTAGTGGAGAGTTCTCAAATGGAATGCCTCTGTCAGCAACACCAAAAATTTGATCCAAAATGCAGAGACAATTTACACGCAAGGAAGACATTTTTCATTTAGATTTGGTTGTTGTTAACAGTTATGGAATTATCTCTACATCACAGGTGTCAAACATAAGACCCGGGGCCAGATCCGGCCCTCCAAGACCCTTAATCTGGCCCTTGGCTGATTTTCTACTTAAATATTTTAATTAAAATATTGGTAATTTTTTGCAGTGCTTAGCATAGCAGCGTCTTCAGCTCCTCTGTGCGTGGCCCCTCCCACCAGAGCAGCACAAATGAAGACTTGTCTCTTTCCAAATGCTCTTAAAAGACGATCGTTTTGACTGTTGACCGTGACACCCTCATCAGAAAAATGTCAAAAATGAGAAAAGTGGACGCCGAGTGCAGGATTTACCAAGAAAAATTGACTTATTCCTATTTGCATGCAAGTTCATGTTAAAATATTGTGTTGAAATTGTATTTTTCTTAAAGTTTCAGGTTCTTCATAATAATATAATATTTTGTAAAAGAAAGAGTTCATCAATTTAAAAAGATTTCTGTAATAGATTTGCCTTTCTCTGCACAAATATTTGAACTTATTGTTATTTTTGAGGTATATATTCCATGAGTTTTCTGATCCGGCCCCTTTGGGATCAAAGTAGGTTGGATATGGCCCCCAGACCAAAATGAGTTTGACACCCCTGCTCTACATTATGTCATAGCCGTTACCCATGTCCAACCAGGGAACCAGAGAGTAACATTTTAAACTTCACCAAAAAAAATAAATAAATTAATAAATAAATTAATTAATTAATTAAATAAAGAAATAGATATAAATAAAATAAATATAATTATGTTAATAGCAAATTGACTACAGAATTCTGACCTGTCATGCAGCTCAGTTTGAAACTACAGGAATTCTAGAGTGTTTTTACATGACGTGAACGCAGGCTATAGTATAGAATAGTAGAGAATAGTAGTAATATAGTATAGTATACTACGAGAGTCATGTGACCATGGTTGATAGAGGGTGGTGTGGAAGGGTAGGCGGGGGCAATCAGCTTTTCTCCGTGCTAAGTGCTGAGCAGGTGGAACAGACAGTTAATCCAGTGAGTAACTAGGTGCCCCAGTGTGAAAGCCCATGACTGTGGAAGAGTGGACGGCATTGTCTTTTATTTTAACATTTTGTCTTAATCCTATTCGTTAGTCCTTGCATTCCACTGTGTCTTCAACTAAGCAATCATTTAACTTTCTGTGTGTAGAATAAATTATATTATATAGTTTAAAGGAACTGTATGTATCCTGTGCGGCTGTTTGTATTACAATCACAACTGAACCTGGGTTACCAGAGCCTTAACCTGCAGATAGAGAACACAAACAAGTTTTTTCTCATTCTCAGTATATGGACAGACCATGCCTCATGTGAAAGCTCAATTCACTCACTGAGCTGCAGAGGTTGCACTAGCACTAGCAGGCATTTTAGGTTCAAACCAACTGGATTTCAGCGTACTCATTGAGGCTCATCCTGTATTGGATAATCTGAAGAAACAAAACATGACATTCTAACATAAATAAAAGGGACACCACATCATGTCCAGTGGTTTGCTAATTAAGAATAATCAGCATTACAATCAGCATTGCTGCAAATATTTGGTTTAAACATGTGAACCTTGTATCTGGGGGCACAGGTAGGTCATGCTCATGGCATGTATCTTACATACAGTTCCTTTAAGTTAATAATTGGATTGTATGTCAGTGTAGGTCTACTTTCATATGAGATACTTTAAATGTCAGAAGTGTTATTTGGGTAAATTATAATCATAATAACAAAATTAAAGGTGTCTGTTCATTGAAAGTAGACCATACGCCTAGCCATGTAGTTTGACCGCCAAAATAAAAATAAAGTCTAAGTTATACTGCATTTCCCAGGTTTGTAACAATAAGTGGCCAATGACATCAACAGTTTGCCCATGGCTCCATTCTGCTATCGCCACCTGGATGAATAACTTTAGCTTAGCTGCTAATTCCCTTATGATTCTTTATGCAGCTACAGCGCGCCTTGCTAGCTTGTCAAGAGCAAAAGTGCAACACACCGCCACGTTTTTATTGTTTCCTTACCTGAACTATCAAAAACGACTCTCCAAAACAAGCCGAAACACACCAGAATGTTCACATCTAAATCACATTTCTGAGTTGAGCCTTTTCGCTTGCAGCCATCGTCCCGTTGTCATGGCACTGACGCTCAGCGGAGAAGCTAGGCTGTAACGCGCATGCGCAAAGACAGAGAGGTTTCTGGGATTATGAGTTTTTAGTTTGGCAGGTACGCCATAGAAGTCGTTTTTAAGTTTTTATGCCATTATTTTTTTTATATATTTTTTGTTAAACCATATAATACTGTAGACAGAAATGAAGGGTCTAGTCTGTGCTTTGAACAAGGAATTTCTCGCATCCTAAACGAAGATAATACTGCTGCACCACCAGTCAAAAAGTAATTAAAATGTCCGGTGAATCAGCCAGGTAAATGGAAGTGAAACATACTTACTCGAAAATTTGTGTCCAACTGACAGAATTAGACAAGTTATTAACTATTATAAATTGCTTCTACTTTACTTTGCTAAAACCTGCTCTCAATCTTTATCCTCATTACTTGATCATAGAAATTAATAACAAACAATAATATTTAAAGACCCTGAAGACCCTTGCAAAACTTGTAATGCAGTTTTGAAAAAGAGTTAGAAAATAGACGTATTCTGAGATCCCACAGTGCACTCTGCTGGTTGCACATGCACACTACACTGTTTAGCGACAGCACCTAAAATAAGGCAAGGCACATTTAGAAGTAATAAAGTAATAAATAATTTAAAGTTGTACTATGTGACTTTTCTGATTGAGGCTATGCTACCTGTTTGTCTTCAATATTATTACTTTACCTGATATGTTTTTGGCTTTAAACTGATATACCTGCATTTATTTCATTATAGGTGTTTTATTGCTTAACCTTTAAACATGCATTCTTTCTGATCTTTACAGATCTTACCTGTAACTTGGTCTAGTGACATCACCTGCTCGTCTCATGGTAGTAGATCATTTTAAAACCATGCTGTGGAACATTCCCAGCAAAGCAGTGACATCTCCACGGTGACAAGCAAGAGACTCTCTACCAAAAGGTGCACCTCTAAAAAGTTGACCTACCCGTGTGCTGTCTCTTTTTCTATCTTAATTTTATTTTCAGTATTTGCTATTTATCCTTGACTATACTTTATGCAAATACAGGAGCCAAATATGCTAAATGTAGAGCAAAACTACACTTAAAGTTTTCAGTGGTCCAAAGTCACATACCTTATGCATTTAGAGAATCCTAATTATTCACCATGATGAGTTTATAAGCTCTTTTCATAACTTTCAGAGGCCAGAGTAGAGTTTGCAGTTATACGAGTGTGTGTGTTTGTGTTGTGGACAGCAGAGGGTGCGCTTCGGTCATGTGTATGGGTCAACCCAGGACACAGGATGATCTTGTCCTCTCTTCCCACCTTATAGTTTTGAAGCAGATTTGATAAGTTGGGAAAAGTATGCAGATATATTTGTTTTGTTTTAAGTATAACTGTACTGTATATTGTGTTTCTCCATTTAGGAGCCTTCAGTGAGAGGATAGTAGGAAAGGGGAGGAGGAACTGGTTTCTGAAAGAGCCACAAAAGTCCAAAGTGTTTTAGCAATCAAAACATAAATGCAGGACAGATCAGTTTACAGTAATGCCATACTTTGGAATTCCTCAGGCAAAGCAATAAAATCCTAGCCTGATTCATCAGCCGGTTTCACTTCATAGAAACTATCTGACTTCGGCAGCATTAGGATTTGTTCGCGTGACAGTAGACGGGTACTTTTTTAATTTAACCAGTCGCTGCTATTTGGTCGTGACATATGTAATGCCCCAAATCCCGTAGTAAGAAGGGCAATAACATCTTTCCCCTTGATAAAATTCACCAAACATTCTCTTTGTTCCGGCTTTAAATCTTCGATCTCGGGAATCGTTGCCAACACAGAATGTATGTTTTCATCTACATCCATCTTGACCGCTTTGTTTACTGTTGTGCTGTACCATAAAACCCAGGTGCTTGAGTTTGACGTCATGGCTTCACAGCTCTTTGCTGATTGGCCCGTGTGCGGCCTACAACTTCCAGGTTTCTTGCAAATCGTCTAGTGTATTCCAATTCCTGACCTAGTTGCTGGAGAGAAATGAAATTCAGCAAAGGCACTAGGTGGCACCAGATTGGCTACTAAAATCCCTCTGGAAAAGTTGCATAATCCACCTTTAACCAAGCAGAATGGCTGTGTCTTTTGTCTTGTTCCTAGCTCCTGTCACTTGCAGTCAACTGATCCCAGCCAGTTCACGTTTGACTCTTCATAAACTGTTTCCCCCTTTGTCTCCCCTCGCTACATGTCATTGCACTTTATCAGTAGTATTCATGAGTGACTGTATTGCCAGAGATTTTCGTTGGCATGTCAGCTGGAGTGGTCAGCTGTTCAGAGCTCATGTCAGACACAGGCACTCACAAGGGCCAAGATTACCCCATTCAACCCCAGCACCACACACCCAGTGCCTAGACGTCTTCTGTCTGCCTCTCCCTTTTCTCTCTACACCTGTTCATCATCCCCTCTCTCTCTCCATTTTCCCCTCTTTCTCTCTTTCACTTTGTCTTTCCATCACATCACGAGGGAGTTGGCCTGACTTTTGTCCTTGTGCCCAGAATCAAATAAAATCTAAACAACTTTACTTGTCCCCTCAAAACGCAATTTAAGCATATTGGGCAGTAAAATACAACAATAACAGAAAAGCTCAAACAAAAGTCTCAACAGGTAGGGTCATCAGGCCTAGTGTCAGAGCAATTTGAGGACAGTAGCAGTCCTCAGAACAAAAGTGTCCCTCTTCTCACTCCTGAAGCCGGCTGGCCAGCGTAGCTATCTCCAAGTACAATCGCCATGGATACAAAACTGTTAAAATCTCACAATCCAATAGTCTTTACATCCTTTGAACTGGACATGCTACACATTCTCAAATATTAAACGTTTTCTAGGTGAGGGTCTCTTTGGAGTTGTTTTTGCTTTGCCTGAAATGTTCCATGGAGTGAAACATTTCCATATAGCATTTATTCATTACGGGTGTTTCTTCTGTGGATAAGGGCAACTTTCCACAGATTTGACATATAATGTACAAAGTGCTGTAACCTGCTTGTCTCCCTTGCAATAAATATGTTTAAAGGGATAGTCTGGAATTTTGGACATAGGACCTCATTTCCCAGTTAGCCAGAGTGTTGGAGAAGTGTGGAGACTTTTAAAATATTCCATCCAGTCCTTGTATTTGGAGAGGTCACTGGTGCTAGGCTAGTGTTTGTCAATGGCCATAGTTAGCCTGCCACTAAAAACTGTTTTACCCACTTCACAAAACACCTGACGCAAATCTGTTATTATGCCAGACTGTTGATGTAAATGTCTGTGTCAATAGAATAATTTTAGAAGTAAAATCAACCTTGCATTTGAAGGATTTATGAGCAGCAGCAGTGAGTTGTACTTCCTGATAGGAAGCTTGGCAGTGGTGGACTGATATATGAGAAAATAGTCATAGTCAATACTCAAATTGTGACAATTCATGCGATGCAAAGTTAGTTTTATTTCAAACATTATTTTATCAACACAGACATTTGCATCGACAGGCTGGTGTAATAATAGATTTGTTTCGGGGGTTTGTGGAGTGGATAAGACTGTTTTTAGTGTCAGGCTAACTATGGCCATTGACATGCACTAGCCTAGCACCAGCGACCTCTGCAAATACAAGGACTGGATGGAATTTTTTTTTTAAAGTCTCTCCACACGTCTCCAACACTCTGGCTAACTAGGAAATTAAGATCCTATGTCCAAAATTCCAGACTGTCCCTTTAATCTATACTGTGGAACATTCTAAAAAAAAGCAATAAAATTTCTATGGAGAGAAGCAGGTAGCAGACCCTCCATAAGAAAAGTTGCGCCTAAAAAATGTAAGATAAAAATAAACATTAAAAGCCTACCTTAGTTTATGTATTCACTATTAACTCATTTTTTTGTTGTTGTTTTTTTTTTTTGTTTAGTGTCACACTATGTCAGCGAAGCACATTTGGTTTTGAATTTTCTTCATTCATAATGGCAATCAAGAATTTCCTTCCTCTCCCATGCTGACTTCCACGCCCCCTCTCTCTGCCTCTATCTCTCCCTCTCTCTTTCTCTATCTCTCTGTCCATCCTCCTCGCTTTCTCCCCTCCTTTTTTCCATCTCTAGTCTGATGCAGGCTGGGTGTGGTCCTCCCGTCTCTCTGTCTGATTGCCTGATACCAGATAACTGCATTGGACTCCCTGATCACATTAGAGACAGCAAATAGAGAGGAGATGCAGAGCAGACAGCACAGCCCACTGGAATCATAAAAGAAAAATAAAACATGCAAAATGGCATTGTTGTATTGTATCAGATATCAACAATACCATCAGCCTAGTTATTTAAAGTCAATTATGAGTAAGAAAATGTTCTATTTTTAGTGTGACTGTGTATATATATATAGCCAGATAATTTATCTTGTCAGTACAGGTTTTCATTTTGAATTTTTGTTATGAAAAATGTATATAGGCTAGTGATAGTACTGTGTGAGGGTATGCCACATTATATTCTAAAATAGGAAAGTAACCAGCTGTGAGATCATTGCTCAGGGAGTGGCCTTATCTTGTTGTGGTTAAATATAAAACTGGAGACTGACTAAGTAGGAATTTATTAAAATCCAAAACACTTCAAAGTGATAACACGTACGCTGGCAATATGTACTTGAAATTCTTTGGTTAAAATAAGCAGACCTATTATGCCAAAATCGACTTTTTTGAGATTTTAACCATGTTATACTTGTTTCTCCTTCTCATTTATCCTCTCAAACTTGTATCTGGAGTGATCTGTGCACATTCGAGCAATCTTTAAGTACTTACTTTCAAGATGCCATATTGACAATCGACCCCCGTTTTCACCGCCACCCATTTAGGCTGGAATTTAGTTAAGTCTTAATCTGTGATACGCGTAAGATTCGGCTTGTAGTAGGTTTGGTACAAAAAAAAAAAAAAAATGCCGTTCCCTAGAGTGATGTGCAGCTATCTATTGGACAGGTGAGCTTTTTGTTGTGATGACGTTTACGCCAGCGTGAGCTCCCATTGTCCACTGCAGTT